GATTGCGGCCGCGCGCACATCGCTTGACGACTGTCAGAACTGGATGTCACTGACACTATGACACTAGCTGTGATATCATTATCTAAGCCAGGTTTGCAGTAATACATTACAGCTATTACTTCAAAACCATGGTCAACTCGCATCCTATATATGGCGCTGATACGGAGGGATCATTCTATGATGAGGACGTAGCAGAGTTCAATATGAAGAGGCTCGGGACCATTTTGGATGAAACGAAAGAGCTTACCGGAGGAAAAGTCTGTTTCTTGACTGGCGGATCTCTTCCTTTTGGTCACAGCTTTTTTAGGAGATTAGGGGAGTTACCACGGTCTATCTTTATTTCGGCATGTATGGAGCATCTTTTTCGTGGCATGTGGAAGATATGGAGCTTTATTCCATCAATTATCTCCATTATGGAGCACCAAAAGTCGGTTTTTTCATCAATTAGCCTACGTATTATGCAGAGCATACGAATTTTAGTACTGGTTCGCTGTTCCTCCAGAAGCTTCAACTCGCTTCGAAAGGCTCATGCGACAGCAGTTCCCTACATACGATCGCCACTGTAAGGTGTGTATAGCTAGCTTGCTTGTGAATTTATTTTGAGACTGTGTTCCTAGGCTTTTATGAGGCACAAGAGTTTCTCCGTCCTTCCGGCGCTTTTGGATATGCACAGGATTCCATATGGGACGATGACGCAGCATCCCAATGAGTTTATCATAACTTTCCCTCATGTAAGCGCTCATTCGCAACCATCTATTCAAAATCATAGTGTGTTTTTAGGGCTATCATATGGGCTTTAATTTGGGTTACAATATCGCGGAAAGCACCAATTTTGCGACAGATCGATGGATAGACTTCGGAAAGAATGCTGTGCTATGTAAATGCCGTTCAGACACGGTAGAAATTGATATGACGGTGCGCAGCTTATTTTCATGTTGTTGTGACAAATTCTTTCATGTGCTGTTACAGCCGTACATGCAGAAATATCGTCGAGATGACTACGAAAGGTGGTATTCTTACTGGTATATGCCCAAAGCAACCCCATGCTTTGATAGCGCTCAGTGCAGTACGTGGAAGCAGCGAGTAGCAGCTCCCCGTTTGATGGATTCAGGTTCAGGAAAACGAAGGAAGGACGAGTTTGGGACCATCAGGCATACGAGGCATTCAACTGCTTACAGGAAAAGGCGGCGTAGAACTGAGGGCGATTCTACGGGTGAGCTCCGCACTCATTCTGTTATCATTTTTTAGTGCATAAAGAATTCATAGGCCAGCACTTAATCGAGATCTTGAAAAGGTTGTCGTGATGGTGTTTTTATCGTAGCCTTGCAGGAGGCTCATCGTCTTCCGACGAGTTCATCTCTTTACATACGCCATTACCTCCGTCTCAGCTGTCCCCATCTATCCTGCGAGCTTCTTGGAAGAACAATATATGTAAGTTTAAGCC